AAATTTATTATTGTAGTACAATTATGCAGGAATATTTTGATGGCTCATCATGTTAAAGTACTTTGATGGTGAAAATGATGGTTAATGTCTATTCTGTAGGAAAACAAATTTAAAAAGTTCCCTTCTCAATAAGTTCTCATATTGCTAGTTGACTACATAAAAGAAATGGCAGCATCTCATTTTATTATGTTTGTGTGTCACATGCATCAATTTCAACTAATTTCCCTTCCTTTCTCATACAGATCCATTCCCTAAAACGTGTACGTATTGGTGGTTTCAAGCTTTCCTCTGACCTTGGGTAATTTAATAATTTTTATTTTTTCTCTTTTTTTTTTTTTTTTTTTTCCACTTGTCTAGATATTTTGATTAAGTTCCACATTCTGGAGGATAACCTTATGTATCTTTATGTTCATGTGGTCATGTTTTAGTTGTGCTTAATACATCTCAATCATTGTAAAATGTGGCTGAGTGCATTATTTATATAAAATGCCCCTTCAATGCGTAATATATAGCATTTGCATGTTTAATTCGACTGTTAAGAGAATAATGTGTGCATCTTTTGTTTTTGTGTGTGAGTGTGTGTGTTTTTTTTTTTTATTTTTTTTATTTTTTTTTGGGGGGGGGGGGGGGCGCATAGAGGGGAATAATTAGTTTGCTATATCAACATCCCTTGTAACACCTTATCTCTTTATAGTAGCTAGTGGGAGGATGATCATGTGACAAATGATCTTGGATTTACAGAGACCAGATTGTTATGCTGATGTAAAATGGTCATGTGCTAACTCACTATAAGGTTGCTGGTATTCTTATGGCAGAAGTAGGAGAAATCAGCAAATTGAAGCTATCCAAATTTGTACCAAAATGCTTCTAGGTAATTCACTGTAATAGATATCCTTGTAATAGGGAAAAACTTTTCTTGGCTCTTTGGTAGTGCTGCATTGGAGCTTATGCTTGAACCACAAAAGCATTTCACTCTAATAGGTCTCCTTATGCTAGGAAAAACAAAATTTTTGGTACTTTGGTAGTGTAGCATTGAAGGCTATGCTTGAACCACAAAATTATTTTAATTGCAAATGGGTGTGATTGGGAAGTATGTCTTATAAATGAGAAGGATGCCAAAAATTATTTTCAGTATGGCTTACACTTAAGATAGAAACCAAGCTAACACTTAAGATAGACAAGACTCCTTCCAATCCTAGATGTTTACTCCATATTCCCTATTGGGATGTCCCTATAAAGTAAAAACTAATTTTCGCTATGGCTAATTATTTTTCTGAACTATCAGTGTCCAAATCTAGCCACTAACTATTTTTCCCCCTCTCATTAGAAAGCATTACACCAAATCCCCGAAGGCACAATAAGGGATAAGGTGTAAAATCTAACATTAAATTTGTGGTGAATGATTACCAGTAGATTTGAAGTGTGATTTAGCTCTAATAATTAAGAAATACAAATTATAGTAAGTTATGAAGCTGTTAATGGAATCTGTTTCAAATGCCACTTGGAAAAAACTTCAAACCCTGACTGTGGTTGCTATTTTTGGTCATTGGGTGCAGTGGACTGGACTACATTACTAGCCTTTGCAATAGCCTTGAAAATCAGAAGTTTTCTATTAGAGGAATAAGGATATATGTGGATACCTAACTTGTGCAAAGTTTAGGAAAGAAAAAGTAGTGCAGTAGTTTTTGTGTTTTTCTGTTAATGCAAGTTTAAATATGAGTAACTTCGAAAATATTAGCAAACCTTGGATTAATGTATTGATTATGCATGACAATTGACAAGTGAATTTGGTATGTCTGTAAAGTTTGGTTCCTTTAGCATGGCTACTTATGTGTTTGGCCTTCAGATAAAGTAGTAGTTATCCTAATCTCTTTAGCCTTCAGATAATGTAGCAGTTATCCTAATCTCTTTAGCCTTCGGATAAAGTAGTAGGTATTTGTATAGCTGCACTTTACTTGCCTTTTTCTAGTAAATGGAATTTAGATGCACTTCTATATTTATTTACTGATGCTTGATGAATACATCGTACTTCATCCATTCCTTTAATATTGCAACATGGGAAGAGTGCACAAGATTTTAGGTATTGGGAAAAAAAGGGAGGGAAAAACTTGTCTATTTGATTGCAAACATTAACTACAGCAAGTATTAACAAATAGTATATTGGGTATTATTTTTATTAAAGCAAGTATTAAAGCAACAGAGGAAGTGTTATTTTTATTTTCACCGAAAAGCAGGTAGATGTCTTTGGGGTGTTTATTATGATGCTTTGCATAGAGTAGAAACCGTGTTTAAATTACTCTGTTTATATTATAATAGATATGTGATGTTCTTAGTTCTTTGTCTATTGTAGGCTTGGTAAATATGTTGAACTGAAAGAAAACGATCTCAAAGCTTTGGGATGGAAGAAGTAAATTTCTGAAGACTTCTTTTGCCAACTTGGCTAACCAATGAGCAAGTTCTGCACGACTGATCAGAAATGTGATGTCTTATCAGCAAAAGATGACACTACATTTTAGAGCCTCTGTGAATATGTTGATGTAATTTTGTACATGCTGAGGCCAGCTCATGTGGAGATGTGAGAAGCTAGTTACCCAAAAATGGAAGATGTGCAGTCAAAGCCGGTATTCTAGAAAAATATGCTCTTTAAGATAGATGCTTCATGCACAATCAATGCAATTGAATCACAAATCAAGATGGAATCGAGATGAAGAATGGTGATCAATGTCTCCTCTGTAAAGTTAATGATTGAAGAACATGTATAATTGTTTATTGCAGTAATATTTGCTAGTATTGTGTATACCAATTTTGTTAGTGATTAAGATGCAAGAACACTTGAACTGAATATATGGAACAAATTTGACCCTAATTATCTAGTGTATTGCTCAGAGAAGATGTTTATGATTGAAATTCTTGCTTTGTGCTGCAGGTTTAGTGAGCAGGCAGTTACCTGTGTCTCAACTTTTGCTCAAGTAAATGTTGCTTTTACATGCGAAAAAAGGCCAGTTAAGATTTGTACAACACTTGCTCTTGAAAGTTATTAGGAGAAATAAATTTTTCTCATGGCGATTTAGGGCGCATGTTTAGGTCTCTTGCTAACCTGCTTCCTACGGGGAAGAAGATATCAAATGGCATGGTTGGTTCAAATTCAGTAGTAGGTCAAGGATCTTCATGACATACTCAAGCCATAGATGATTGGCAAATATTGATAGATTTGAACAAAATCTCTCAACCTAGCTCACAATTGGGAATAGAAAAACCTTGATAGTTGAATCTCTGCATCCGAGTGCTATCCCTGTAGATTCTAAGGTCATGCGAGCAGTTAATGCATGTCATGAGAGCATTTATGAGACTACCTGATGGTGATAGAGCAACCTCATGATACAGTGGGGCACCAAATATATAGGAGGATTGAGTGTTGTGGCAGTGAAAGTATCATTAATGCTTTTGAGCTCTAGCTAATGAGGCAAGGATGAAATGATACAGCATATTGTTCAGATCGTCAGTGGTGCTAATTATGCAGCTAAAGGAATAACTCTTGATTTCCCCCACTACGATAAAGGGACTAAGTCAGTGGTGCAATCAGACAAAGTAGAAGTTGATATATTGTCTGAACAATGAGCTACTACAGTGGTGATTTATTGTCAGACACGCCTAGTGTTGGGGTAGTGCAAAGCATAGATTGTGAAGCTTGGTCAGAAAATTTTAATTTCCATGAGGTTCTAAGAGATGTGGATTAGTTTGCCTACTCTTTACACTTCATTGTTTCGGTGCAAATTCTATGATGAATTGGAATTTTTTTGGGAATACCGTATTTGCAGAGAACATACTTGATGACTTAGGAGTATCATTTGCTAGATTTCTGATGGAACTAGATGTTACTAAACCTAACCCAAATGAAAAGTCGATGATTAACAAGCAAAATGGAAACATGACAGATGAAGTAGTAGGAGGCATATTTGGCCAGCATTAACAAGCAAAATGAATAGACAGTAGAGCTATTTCTAATCTATGACAGATGATGCGAAAATGGGTGCCAAAGAAGATGTCCGCTAAGATCCTGTAAGGTAATTTGAAAAGCAAGAACGCATAACTATATTCTCCAAATGAGTATGAAAAAAGGATAGTACTAGAACTTAATGCCTTGCATCATCCATCACATTATCATATCACATCCTGCTATATATCTAGGAGGAATAACAAGCAAATTGAGCAACCTATAGCCAGTAAACATCGCAAGATGAAGTAGTAGGAGGCATATTTGGCCAGCATCACTCGCTCTTGGAATACACGCTGTAAATTAGGAAAATACAATACTCAACATGAGAACAAATTATGTTTTTCATGATTCTTAAAAAAAACATGTTTTTCATGATCCTTAAAAAAACATGTTTTTCATGAGGACCAATAAGTCTTTTTCATTTCTAAATCCGGGATAGAAATATAACTTTCTATATTTGGTATGAATAACAATTATTAACGTATCTTATAAAAAAATAAAAATGAAAAAAAAAAACCATTAACATAACGTAACTTTGATTGTAACACCATTCGTCACCCTCAATATGGTCTTGGTAATGTTCGTGAGTGTTTGGTTAGCGTTGACGAAACAAACCTATCTATTAATGTAGTGAAAGTTATTCAATGTAAAAAAAATAACATTTCTACCTCAAGTTCATACCCATCAAACGACGAGAAAATATTTACACGTCAGCCGTAAAACTTTTTATCTGGCACAGTAAGCAAAAAAACATTAAATACAACAAAACGCGCGAATTTATATACGGAGCATAGATAGAGTATGCTTATTATTCGATCTCAGGATCTCCTAAAAAGGTTGAAATCGGGAGGGAAACTCTAAACACTCAAGCTATCACTCAATCTCGACCTTGTGATATTCGTAGTTAGTTCGTTGTACTTTGTACTGTATAATACAAGTAGTTTTTTTTTTTTTTTTTTTTTTTTTTTTTTTTTTTTTTTTTTGGAAGATATAATACAAGTAGTATATATAACTCTGAAATTCTTTTTCTCTCTTTCCTGTAGATCTCCCACCTCATCCGTCTTCCTCTCTCTCTTCGTCGTCTCCATTTCAGATTCTGCTACTTCTTGTACCTGGTAACTTCAATTCTTCTACACTTTGACTTTTTTTTCAATTCAATCGTTAGGGTTTTCTATTGCTGTTTTCCCCTTTATTTATTTGCGCGATTTAGGGTTTGCTTCCATTAATTCTCAAATTTTATTCACTTCCTTGATTAGGGTTTCCACCTGACCAATTTCGAATTCTGTTCGTCATTTGGGTCTTGATCAATCAAACTTCTTGCACAAGGTAAGAATTACGTTTCAGAGCTTCCATGGTTTTGCTGCTACAGAATAAATCTTGTAGATGCTGATATAGAAAGCATGTTAATTGATTCTGTATGTGTATTGCTCATTAGATTGTGTATTGCTCAGTTCTTTGAAAATGAATTTGGGCGAATCATGATATTGATCTCAGTTGCTATTAGGTGATAATTCTCGATTTCTCGATGCACCGTGTAGTTGCTTAATTGGCCAATCTACTGAGCTCCCTGAATTTTTGTTATCGGTGTTATGGTTTTCAAAAGTGAATTTTGGGAAGAGGGGTTATATTGAGAATTTTGTTAGAGTATTTTGGTGGTGTGTAGTTGTGTACGCATTTATTTATCACCGGCTTTTGGAATTCTGTTGCAAAATAGAGTTAGTGCCTCTTCTTATACGATTATTTTCATTTCATTTCCTTTATAAAATATTCATTTCAGTTCAGCTCTAATAAATTCAGTTCAGTTGTTCTCATTTCAGTCAATGAGAACAAGCCCTTATATTAAGGCCTGATTTCGAATATGATTTAGTAATACTCCGTATTTGACAGTTATGGTTTAGTTCTAGTCTTTGCCTTCCATATACGAAGTGTATTGTTATTTAGGTGACTGCAATTGTCAAGTTGAATGGGAGTATAGATAAATCCCATAGCAAAGAGTGTTATAGCACTTCTTTTCTCCTTGGTGGGGCGGGAAATAGGTTAATCGCCATTAGTGTTTCATTGTCCTTCTTCGATTCATTATTACACTAAATACTCGATCTTGCTATACAATATGGTGATTATTGTTTCAAAAGAATAGCAATCTTTATAAGTATGTTTTGCCTTGGTAATCTACAGTTCTACATACATATGCTTCAGGTTCAGGTTGTTGCATGTTGTTTTTTATATTGATCTTGAATAAAGTTTGTGAATCATATTTTAATGTGTCTCCTTGGTTTTTGTCTGCTTCATTTTTTTTCCTGGAAAGCTTATTTGCTGGGTGGTATATTTGTTTATACATCCTCCACTCATTTTGAATTTCTGGCGCTTAAGTGTTGATAGAAGAACTAACCTGGATTTTTCTCTTTATGAGATGTACTTCCTGCATCTTCATACCAAAATGCAGTTTTTGAGCTGGTTTTTGAATCCAAATGGATGCCAAGAAGTTCATTCAGTTGGTCGAGGAGAAGAAGAAGCGAGTTTTGGAAAGGAAAGAAGCCCCGTTTAAATGGCAGCAGAGGCTAGAAGCTGCTGCAAAAGCAAGAGCTGATGCCGAAGCCAGAGAAAGGAAGGCAAAGTTGGCAAAAAAGAATAAAAGAAAATCTGTATCTGGTTACGAGAGTGAGAGTGAATCTGACAGCAGTCATGGGGACAGAAAGTCCAGAAAAAGATCTCATAAGAAGCACAGAAAGCACTCCCATTCTGATTCTGGGGATGAGAAGAGGGAGAAGAAATCCAAGCATAGGTCAAAGAGACGCTCTTCGGACTCAAATGACAGCAGTGATGATTGTGATAGCTCTGAAGAAGATAGAAGAAGGAGGAAGTGCTCTCAGAGAAAGCACAGTCGGCAATCTCGCAATGGTTCAAGATCCGAGGATTCTAGTTCTGATTACTCTTCTGGTGAAGATGCTGCTGTGAGGAGATCTCACAAGAGGCACCACAAACGCAACAAGAAGTCAGACTCTGATTCTTCTGATTACTCTGAAGCGGATGATCGGAGGAGAAGCCATTCCAAGCACCACAAGCGTCATCGTCGATCCAGGTCTAATGACTCAGATTCTTCTAGTGATGATGACTCGCTGGAAAAGAGAAATCACAGGAGGTCCCGCAAACAGCACAGAAGATCACACAGTGTTGATTCTTCGGATTCTCATGGCCACAAGCATGATAGGAGGAGCCGATCACTAGGAAAATCATCTGATGATAACTGTGATGAAGCTGCCAAACATAGACACAAGAAAGGTGATCGTCACCACCATCATCACCATCACAAGCATGCAAACCACAGCAGCGTGAAAGAACTTGCTGCTTCGGGCAGTCAACCATCTGAAGCAAATGGAAATTATCTGCAGCATGGAGATACCAATACCAATTGCCATTTGAATGGCAGCTGCTCAAAACAAGAGGTTGGCACAGAGGTGAAAGGAAAGATTGACCCTGAGAATGGACACCTTGCTGACCTCAGCAAGTAATTACGAAAGACTAAGTTTTTCGTTGAACTTGATTGTCGTCTTGTTTTAGCATTTTCTATCATTGTTAAGGGTTTCTGTGAGGAAGTCATCTTTCTCTTGGTTTCAGGAGTTATCCTAGCCTTTGCACAAGTATTGACCTTGCTTTACATTACCTAATGTGGGTTCATTGTTAATTGTACATCGACTTTAGTGTGTTTTGCTTTATACCAGTTCAGTCAGCTGATTTGATGAAATAGTTTTCTTTATTCTCTACTCTACACAATTAAGCCAATTTTAACTCTTGATGTTTTAGGGTGATTTTGGAGGATTAGGAGTTTTGGACAAGGTACCTTGGAATGTTGTGCTTTTTTTAGATATCACCCTGTATTTTCCAGTTTAATTAATCTTGCTGATCATTCCTGTCTGTAGTTCTGGTGATAACAAACTCAGCAACTATCCATTTTCACAGAGGTTTATTATGAAAAACATGGTCGTTGGGAAGAGTTATTCAATTCTCCGTGGTAACTTGTCTAGTGAGCGTGCTTTATGCAAACATTACATACAAGCATTTCACGGAGAACTTGGCATTTGAACAAGAAGGAATTGTCATGTTGTAGCTCATACATTTTGATCACTATGCTTATTGAGACTAATAAACAGCAGAAATTTGATAAAACAGCAGAAATTTATAGGATTATAAGATTTGTTCTCTTGGCGCTTCAATTACAAACCAAGATGTTGAAGAAATAGGGGCAAGTAATTGTAGAAAGAATATGACAGGCTTAATTATATACTTCTATATGATTTTCTAGTAATTTAGAAAAGTCAGAGTTAAATCTATTCAGCTAGTGTGAAAGGAATTTGCGAATTGGCTATAAGAGGCCATGGAAGGGTATCTTATAAATAAATACTTGTACAATAACTATGGGGTCAAGGGCCTCAAAGTTTGGTGTAGTGGTGAGAAGTTCGCCTTGTGACCTCATCCTCCAAATTGCAAAAAACCATGAGGGTTGATATTAATCAGGGTCCTCCTTACCATTTTGGTAAAGTGATACTTCTCTGTTATATTTATTTTTTGTATAATTTTCATTGTAATATTGTAATCAAAATATTATAAGATACGTATTTCCAGTAAAATAAATTCAAAACTAAAAATCGATTTTTTTTTCTTTTCTTTTTTAACAAAAAGCAAACCATGGAATAAATAGCAGAGTCAGCCAAAACAAAAGATTGAATTATGGTAGGGACTTTCTCTAACTAGACCCTACAACCCTCATAGGTTCTACTTAAACATGCCAAGTAATGAGCCACTTCGTTTCCAGATCTTCTCACTAATGAGTAAGACCACGAGCTACACGAGGAGCCTAACTGGAGGATGTCCTGATGCGCTTCCCATAATCTAAAGGTTCAAATTTCTTATTTTTAAGTGCATAGTATAACTTCAGATTATTGGTGTCAAGGACGAGGTTGTGAAATCCAACTTTTATGGTGATGCTAAGAGCATGACGAATAGCTAGTCCCTCGGTAACATCCACATTTGCACTGCCCTTGATCTGCTTACAAGTCTCCACCACAACATCACCTTCTGAGTCCCTCACCACACCCCTAAACCAATCTTACCCCTATCAAATACCGCAACAACCGAGTTAGCCTTATAAATTCCACCCATAGGATTCCTCCACTTAGAAGTATTTTCTCTTCCACTCCCCCCCCCCCCCTCTTCCCACCGTTTACATCAATAACTTCATATTCACTCACCAATTGCATTGCCTTGTGACTAATGACACCCCTCCAACTTTCCTTTATCAAACGCCCAGGTGTTTCTATAGAGCCACAAGCCCCACAAAATGAACCTAAAAACACTCCACCACCGAGGTCCATAAACAATCTTTAGCCACATTGACACACCACTGACGAAAGTTACCTCCTTCAAAATTTGGCACTTGTAAGTCTGTAACCTCATAACAAAATGCGACCAAACAATGCGCACTTCAAGACAAGTAACCAGCATATGCAATATTCTATCCTAGAAACAAAATCTGATTTTTAGAGGGATGACTTCAAGCCATAATTTTTTCCACTTGAACTCACCATATGAAGGAGAAGTAGAAGCTTTGCTATTTTTCAGCATGTTATACGCACTTTGCATACTAAAATCTCCATATTTGGAGTGTCTCCATGACCAAAAACCATCAATGTTAAACATGAACAGGGATTTTAAAATCGCCTCCACCTCAGCTTTCGAGAAAGGCTCATGCAGCAAGTCAATGTCCCAATGCCCATCTTTAGGTAACTCACTAACAAACTTGGGACCATGCCCCCTCCTAGATTGGCAAACTAAAAATTCGAAACTCTAGTAACGTAGGCACGCACCCACATATCTTCCTATATTTCATCCTTTACCCACTCCCAATCATCTTCTTTACTCCTTTTTCAAGGACCCATCAAGCATTAGCTATAGATTTCCAAGTATAGCTCGTTGTAGGACAAATTTTTGCATCCAGAAAAGAAGTATATGGAAAATATTTCCCTTTTAACACCTTAGTCATCAAAGAGCTCTCATTATTGAGGATTCACCATCCTTGCTTCACTAAGAGTGCTTCATTAAAACGTTCTATATTCTTGAACCACATACCTATACGGCTATACCCCCTTCTTTCTTGGGCATAAACATTTTTTCCTATGCCACCCAAGCTAATTTCCTCTATGGCCACATTTAACCACTAAAAGAATTATCTATACATCTTTTCACCTTCCTCAAGAATACCCTTTGGCAAAGCAAAACATTGCATACGCGCGAAATGGCTTGTGCAATAGCTTTGATGAGCACTTCTCTTCCCGCTTGCAAGAGAAATTTTTCCTTCTACCCGTCATCCTCTTCTAGATTCGATCTCGAATAATTTGGAAAATATTTTTCTTAGACGCACCAATATAAGTAGGAAGCCCAAGATATTTTTCATGGTCTTCAACTGCCTTAAATCGTCTGAAGCAATTTTTTCTTTGCAAGCTCCACATTTAGTCTAAAAGAGATCGACCTTAGATTTATCCATATTCAAAATCTGACCTGATACTGCTTCATAGATTTATAAAATATCGAGCATCTCATCTACTTCTTTTACACACGGTCGAACAAATAATAAGCTATCATTCACCAAAAAAAAAAAAAAAGGCTTGTGAGTGCAACCTTCTTAACTACCAAATAAATTATGAACGTTTGTGTACGACGTCTATACTATGTTGTGGAGAGAGACGTCTTACACAGATGCCTTTACCATGAAAAATACGTTTAACATAGACACCCCTACCATGGTATAAGCGTTTTTAAATCTCCGGGAGTCTCCATTGTGGCCTGGTATAGGCGTCTGCGTGAGATACCTAAATTATAGCATGGATGTTTGTCAAAAATGTCCATACCATTGTAAGGACATCTCCTACGAACGCGTATACCATGATGTAGGAGTCTCCGACAGACACCCATGAGCCAAAAACCTAAAAAAGTGATCCAAAATGGGTTTGACCTAAACATTCAGTACTTACGTAACTACGTTAGTGATAGCAAGGGTTTTCCATGACCGATCCTTCCTTTGATAAGGCATGTTCACAACGACTTTGATTAAAGGTGGTGGTGGCATGGGCTTACTTTGACGAGGTATGGTTGTGGTGGGTAGGAGCTAAGTGATTGCGGTAGGAAAACAGGTGGTTGGGGTGGAGACGATAACGCATCAAGTGGCTATAGAGAGGGGTTGAATAAATTAAGGGAAAGGGTTAGTGTAGGGAATATTTCAAACCATCCCACACTTGAGCCCCACTGTGACCATACACTTAAGCATGGTGGTGTCCAAAGGGAAGGAAGCTAAGCTAGAGCAAAAGAGTCGCCAACAAGTTTTAGGAACTTGTAAACCGTTCACAGGGTGAATGTTACACCCTTAACGATCCAGGAGATCGTTAACTCCAATAGGTCTGGAACCAAGATTGGAAGTTCGGGGATGAATGTACAAATACAATCTAAAAGAGAAAGAACTCGCCCTAATAATAGGCCTCTACTTTATTCTACTCGTATTTATGTGCGCTTTCTGACTAACATGCAATCAATAGATTTACCCTAAACCTGTTTAATCTATGTTGGTTGAATATTAATGCACAAATAAATTTTTATTGGCGATCACTTGAATTATAATCATGTTAACCATCAACAAGATTATTTATTATCTTATTAAGCGTGATTATAAGTACCAATTCCCTTTAAACATGCACAAAAGGTGTGATCAAGCAATAACAATAATAATAAACATCAAGCAACATAATAATCATAGTAATTATTATAATCATAATAACAATCATAATCATGTTAAAAATAAAACATAATATTAATAGCAAAATCCTAGGCAATGATACTAACAGGATTAATAACAAACCCTAGCATGTCATTAAACATTAAAGATCAAATCTTTTAGCCCTAACATGATACATGATATTAGGAAAGAAATAGGAAGCATTCATTTAATCATACTTGATATTAGAAATTTTAGTTGTTACCGTAAACATGATACTAGGAAGCAATAAAACATCATAACATGATACTAGGAATCAAAATAACAATCTAAGCATGATTTTTATATCAAAAGATCAATAAAGCAGTTAAATTACTTAACTGGATGTCTCATACCTCTTTCTAATAACAAAATACACACGTTAATAAATTCAATGAAAATAATAAAATCAAAACAATTAAATTAAATGATTGAAATAGAGATTTGAGACCAAACCCGCAGAAATATCAAACCTTTCACGTCTAGGACGAAGGCACCCTCGAACTTGGCTAGGTGTGTCTAGTGCTAATGTATGAAGAATTGTGTTTGTAAAAGGCTAGGCTAGAAAGAGAAGAGAGAGAATAAGCTTTAGCTTAGAGAGAGAGAAGAAGAAGAATTAGAGAATTCTGGTTATTGAAAAACGGAGGTCCAAGGACCCTATTTATAAGAAAATATTCCGAAATTGATTGAAAAGAATTAGAGTTCGAAAAGGAATAAAACACCCTTCGGTCGCCAACGACAGAGCTCGTCGCCAGGCGACGAATCTGTCGTCGGGCGGTGCAAGACAATTTTTGCGTATTTTTATTTTATCATATCTTTTGATCCAGAAATCCAAATAAGTCAAATAATATGTCGTTGAAAAGCTCTTGAAGTCTACTTTCCAATACAATTAGAATCAGATTAAAATATTTTGTATATAAAAAGATATGACCGAAAAAGTGGAAGGGTGTCAGTTTTGGATAGAGTTTCGTATTCCATTCATATCTTTTTCGTTTTAGCTCGGAATTAATATTATAATATATCATTGGAAAGATAATTCCAAGATCTATCAAACCATATAAGATTTGGATAAATATTATGAGGCACGAAAATAAAATCTGAATATATTCCATTTCGTACAAAACAAGGATTCTAAAAAGGAGTAGTTTTATTCAATTTCAAACTCTTTGAAACATAATTATCAATCCTAACTCCATTAGGATATAAGAGAACCTTATAGAGTATTCTAGAAGACTATAATCAATCCTAATAGCTTTAGGAATGATAATTAATAGGATTTTTTGTATATTACCACCCTAAAATTTAACATGTGTTGAAATAACCACCCATTTTTGTTGAAATTAAAAATAACCACCCATATTTTACAAAACTGTAGGTTTTACCACCCCTACCTATACTCTGGCCAGTTTTTCAAGCATGTGCCCCACAATTTCATCATGAAGAACCCTAATTTTCAATTCAAGTTAAATTGAATGAATCAAACAACGATTACATCATTAAATTCCTAATAAAACACATTCCAAACAAAAAATATTGTATAACTTGAATTTTACTTCATTAAAACATTGCAAAATAACTAAAGAAATAAAAATTAAGTGCGATCTTCAATTACCTTGTTGTACAAATCGGTGTAAAAAAATTTAAGTGCGTTCTTTAAAGGATTCGCTTGTCAATTTGCAAAACTTGGAGTAAAAATTGGTAGAATTTGTGAAAAAAATGAAAAATTTTAAGTTTGGGAGTAGTTTGTGAAACAAGGGAGGAAATAAATCGAGAAACAACTTTTATGAAAATAAAAAACAACCGTTATGTGGGGCCGATGCTCGAAAAACTGGTCGGAGTATAGGTTGGGTGGTAAAACCTACGTTTTTTGTAAAATAAAGGTGGTTATTTTTAATTTTAAAAAATATGGGTGGTTATTTCAATACATGGTACATTTTGGGGTGGTAATTTACAAAAAATCCTAATTAATAACATGCCCTCCTCTATATCATTGGGCCGCATGTAAGAATCAAACCGGGTCCAGTTTAGTATTTTGACCGTAACTCTCTCATTATTCATCGGAATTGGGTTTATAATATATCATTGGAAAGGTCTTTTCAAACCCCATCCAACTACACTATTATTGGACCCTTATCATGGACCAAACTAAACTGGAATGCACGTTTTTCATAAATAGGGTAAGAAAAGAAATATTTTCAAAAACAGAAAGAAGATATATTTTAATAAAAATATCCTTATAACTAGACTTTTCACACTTTCACTTTATTCGATTAAGATTCGACGCGAAAGGTATTAATCATTGGGTTTGGTTTTGGGGAGACACAAATGGGTGTCTACAGTTAAAATGATCATTTATAATGTCGTATGTTGTCAAATAGTAGCACTCTGGCCTTATGGTTGCGACCAATTGCAAATCAATGACAAATTTTTTAATTTTTTGTTTTGAAAAAAATAAATAATAAATTTTAAGAAAAAAAAATACGTAGCAGAAAAGTTTTTTTTTTAATTTTTTTTTTTTTGACAAGAAAATAATTTTTTTTTTTACAAGAAAATTAAAAAGTTACTCCTTTAAAAAAAAACACAAAAATTAGAAAAATAAGAAAAATCGGATCAAACAAAAAATTCAAAAATATTCACCACCTCCAAAATCTTCGCACGTAGAGGAAGTGAATTAGTAAAACAATACCACACCAACAAAGAGAAAACTCCTCCCTTTCTAAAAAACGATATCGTTTAACTCAACACCATCAAAACTTGTTCATTCGACCCTATATAGACCACACACTCAGTCACCTTCCCAAACCCTAGTCCCACTTTTCCCCCATTTTCTCTCTCCTCTTTCTCTCTCCTCCTCTCCAATGGCGTCGCGAAGGCTCATACACTCTTTCGCTCGCAACCTCCGCCGATCCTCCCGCCCTTCTCTCTCCTCCCCCAAACCCTCCGCCGCTCACCGCGCTTCCGCCCGCGGCTACCTCCTCAACCGCGTCGCCGATTACGCCTCATCCTCCGCTGCTGCTGCGCAGCCCTCGACCCCTGCTAAATCCGGTGGCGCCGGCGCCGGTAAGATCACCGATGAGTTTACCGGTAAAGGGTCTATTGGAAAGGTATGTCAGGTGATCGGTGCTGTTGTTGATGTTAGGTTTGAGGAGGGTTTGCCCCCGATCTTGACCGCTCTTGAGGTTCAAGATAATCAGACTCGATTGGTGCTTGAGGTTGCTCAGCATTTGGGTGAGAGTATGGTTAGGACTATTGCTATGGATGGTACTGAAGGTCTTGTTCGTGGTCAACCCGTTTTGAATACTGGATCTCCCATTACTGTAAGATCTCATTTTTTTGATTTGGTCAAAGTTTTTGTTTTGGGATTGGTGATTTGGAAATGTGGGGTGTTTTGTTTTTTAATTAATTTGTGATTTTTAAGGGTTTTGTTGATTTGCATTTTGAATTTTAGATCTGGGTCCAGATCGTTGGATCTGGATTTGTTGTGGTGCTTGATTTTTTAGAGATTGTTCATTCGATTTAGATTATTACTTTACTTTAGTTACCCCGTATTAGAGATTGCTCATTTTATTGTTGTGAATGATTACACATTTGAATTATTGCTTTTGTTTCGGGCTTTATCGATGAAACGGGTTATATGTTATACACTTTTCAATAGGCGTAATGTGTATGCGATCTCTGGATGTTGACCAAAGCTAGTTTGTGTTGAAAGGGAAAACCTTTGTATTTGTTGTATGGATTGAGGCGTGTTGTTGTATGATGTTAAAAAAGTGTTTGTTAGGGTCATATGCTTTTAAGAAATGAGGTCTTTTTTTGGTGCCGCCTCAAGTTATTCAATAATTTGGTCTAAAATTGTTGTCAATCATGAAAATGTATTTTATACTGTAGATTCCTGTTGGAAGAGCTACCCTTGGTCGTATTATGAATGTTATTGGAGAACCAATTGATCATAGGGGCGAGCTGAGTAAGTAGCTGACTACTCTAATCATTTATTAATTGTCTTAATGAATTTTATTAGAGTCTTAGGAATTTGGTGTTACTATGCTGACTTTTGTGGTGACATTGGCAGCAACCGATCACTATCTCCCCATTCACAGAGAAGCACCTGCCTTTGTTGAACAAGCAACTGAGCAGCAGATTCTTGTTACTGGAATTAAGGTGAATTTTACAATATAACTCCCATCTCCTCGTTGAACTGCTGTGACATTGTGGTGTTTTGTATGAGAGACTTGTATAAATCGCTTTGCCTGGATTTGCCTTTTCAAGGTCGTTGATCTTCTAGCTCCATACCAAAGGGGAGGAAAGATTGGGCTGTTCGGAGGTGCTGGTGTCGGGAAAACTGTGCTTATTATGGAACTTATCAATAATGTTGCCAAAGCTCATGGTATGTTTGCAATGGCACCTTTGCTCCATAGAATTTAATAGCTTTGTTTCAGTAGGTTTATGATGTTGGTTGTCATGATCAGGTGGTTTCTCCGTGTTTGCCGGAGTTGGTGAGCGTACTCGTGAGGGTAACGACTTGTACAGAGAAATGATTGAGAGTGGTGTCATTAAGCTAGGTGAAAAGCAGGTCCGTCACGATTTTGCATTAGATGTTTCATTTATGTGTCTATTTTACATTGGCTCATCCTTTGCCTAATCTTTCCTTTGTAGGCTGACAGTAAATGTGCCCTTGTCTACGGTCAAATGAATGAGCCCCCAGGTGCTCGTGCCCGTGTTGGTCTTACTGGACTAACTGTTGCAGAGCATTTCCGTGATGCTGAGGGACAAGATGTGCTACTCTTTATTGACAACATTTTCCGTTTCACCCAAGTATGAATTCTTGTTTGAATAACTTGTTTTTTTACCCGTTATTATAAATCTGTTGTTGGATGATTCCCTTAATTTATGACAATGCTTCTTTGGTTGATTTCAGGCTAACTCAGAGGTGTCTGCTTTACTTGGACGTATTCCCTCTGCTGTCGGTTACCAACCTACTTTGGCTACCGATCTTGGAGGTCTTCAGGAGCGTATTACAACTACCAAGAAGGGTTCTATTACTTCTGTCCAGGCTATCTACGTGCCTGCTGATGATTTGACAGATCCTGCTCCTGCTACAACTTTTGCTCACTTGGATGCCACAACTGTGTTGTCCCGACAGGTAATTTGAGGGATGACAGATGACCAAATGCTTTTATTCAAGTGCATCTAGTTTATCTTCTAACTTCCTACGTTTTGACCAGATCTCTGAGCTTGGTATCTACCCTGCTGTGGACCCTCTTGATTCTACATCTCGTATGCTTTCACCTCACATCTTGGGAGAAGAGCATTACAACACTGCTCGTGGTGTACAGAAGGTTCTCCAGAACTACAAGAATCTTCAGGATATCATTGCCATTTTGGGTATGGATGAGCTAAGTGAAGATGACAAATTGACTGTCGCTCGTGCCCGTAAGATCCAGAGATTCTTGAGTCAGCCCTTCCATGTTGCTGAAGTTTTCACGGGTGCACCCGGAAAGTACGTTGAGTTGAAGGAGAGCATCCAGAGTTTCCAGGTAATTGAAATTTCTCATGCTGGTCAAATGTGTAAATTTATCAGTTTACTGCTGCTCTAGTCTAGTTTTGCTTTTGGTTGATTGATTATAGACAGGTTGCACTTGTTCCTTTTATTGATATGTGATCATGCAATCTTTTACTTTCTCGATTTCTTATACGAAGTATTTATTTCAGTTTGTCTAATGTTGGTCGTGGCATATAATTTGCAGGGTGTCTTGGATGGTAAATATGATGACCTTTCTGAGCAATCTTTCTACATGGTTGGAGGAATCGAGGAGGTCATTGCCAAGGCTGAGAAGATTGCCAAGGAATCTGCAGCTTAAGGAAATCTGAGATAATTTGTTTTTTGACTTTTTTTTTTTCCTTTGGCTCTTTGCCTTGATAATTGCGAAAATAATTTTTAGTTGACATTGGCTTTACCAGCTCCCGGAGTTGAGAAGGATTTTTTTGGGAAGCCAAACATATGAACAAGGGTTTTTCCATTTTGTCTTATTTATCTTTGTTGCACAAGTGTGATGATGACGCTCCATTTTAACGGAGCAGAGAGGGTTAGCCTGCTAGTACAATCCCAACCCCCCCTCAGCTCCCTGTCATTGAATAACGGGAGCAGGAGACAACATATGGACACAATGTATATTTTTGTTCTTTTTGTCAAGTCCAGATTTTAAATGGTCTAATTACATTTTCATATAGCCTGCCTGTTTTTCAAGGTGAAAATGTATAATATTAATAAGCTCTTCTTGCAGCTAATAAGCAAACAGGTGTTTTAGATTTACACCATTAAAGATCACAGATTCACAGGTGGTTTGAATGTGTGTTGATGGGTGCGATGTTGGTTGGGATTTACAAAGGATTAACTACAAGATTAATTTGCCACTGTCACTCCTGTGAGTTCAGGCTGTCAAAGGTCAGGATGTGACTATGTGAGGGAAGAAATTGCTACTAGTTATGGCTCTTATGAGTACTATTAGGGTAATGTCCAGTAGTGTAGTCAATTTTAGTTGTCGAACTTTCCTCAATGTGCAACAAACCTCAGAAACAGTTACAATGCAACAAACCTCAGAAACAGTTACAATAGAGTATGGACAATACAGACGTATGTATCAATATAGGATCACTTATTATATACAAAGGTCAACTCAAATGGGACTTGTCGTGGGTGCCGTCTAAAGAGAGAAAATATTGTATAATTCCATCAAGGAAGCAATTAGCTTTGGAAGCTTACTGCTACGATACAATATACTACGTAACTAATAAAGGTACATAGGTTGTGCTAGCTTCTGTTAATAGCTCTTATCGAGTAAGACCAACTCTTAGAATCATGTTTTATTTATATGATTTTCTCTTATATGAACTCGTTAAACCATATTTAAATCCTGATAAAGAAATAAAAATTGATTTGTAGAAAATACTAGTATTACCTCCGTTACAGGTTATGTGCAACGATTAAACATTTTTCCTTTCTGTTTTATATCAAATCGTGACACATAACCTGTGATGAAGGTAGTGTAAAAAATGAATTTGGAGGCCAATAGGAGAAGCATGGATCATGCGGCTCCAATTGATTTGGATAAGTGATTACAAACCTCCCATCACAATTCACACCACAACTCCAAACAATGAGGTAAGTACTCGTAGTAGACTTCTCAACCCATTACAAAATCACACCACCTCCCATCTTTGACCACCTTCACCGGCACCATCTCCAAATCTCTACTACTTCTTTCCACCTTCCTCCACCTAACCAAACCTCATATAAACCCCCCAAAACAAACATGTCCATTTCTCTCTCCTCTTTACCCCACCTTTCACCTCTCCACCACCCTCATGCCCACCTCCACTCCACCCCTTCCATGTCTCTCCTCCGCCGCCTAACCCCCCCTCTCCGCCACCACCGCCACCGCTTCCTCTCCCTCGTCGCCTCCGCCGTCCGCCAAGACACCACTCTCTGGACACCCACCCCTATCTCCCTCATCGAACCCGCCGCCGAATCACTCTTCCACATCTCCATCAACGTCTCCGACGCCCCTCACATCGCCGCCTCCTACACTCGCCCTGGCCAGTACTTGCAGCTTAAAGTCCCTGACTCTCCTAAACCTTCTTTCCTCGCTATCGCCTCTCCTCCACTCCTTGCCGCTGAGCGCGGCGAGTTTCAGTTTCTTGTTAAGAATGTCGCGGGCTCTACCGCTGAGCTTCTATGTGGGTTGAATAAAGGGGATGTTGTTGAATTGACCGCTGTCATGGGGAATGGTTTTGATGTTGATCGGCTTTCGCCTCCCGAGGATTTTCCCACTGTTCTTGTCTTTGCCACTGGATCTGGAATCAGGTATTCTTCGTTTCATTATCACATACTATTAATTTTCAATTGTTCTTCTTTTTGACGTGATTGGTTGTAGAACTATATTTTAATTTTGCCAATTGAATTACTTGACATTTTCCCAGAATTTTATTGTGCATTTGTATACCAACTCTATGATCACTCAACTTCTGTGACTATAGTGTAAGGATGCTATTATTTATTCTCTATATGCCACAAAAGAGTTAAAGAGTGTAGTTACAAAGGTGCTTTTTTACTTATAGAATACGAGAAAGTAGGATTACATATAGAATATAGCTACTGTTGGATTCTTGTTTGTGCATTTGGGGATTCTCTCGATAGTCTTCGATTTTAATGTCAAGCTCTGTTCTTTACTCACTCTATGTTTGGATAGAGAGAAATAGAGGGAAATGAAGAGAATAGAAAAGGAAGGATGCATCATCCTTTGTTTGGATACTCTATGCAATAGGGAATTGGAAGGATCCAATTTCCTTCCCGTTTAAATAAACCAAACCCCTCTGTTGGAGAGATTTGAAAGGAAAATGGAAGTTCCATCTACAGATCTACTCTCTTCCCTCTTTTTCCTTCACCTCCCTTTCCCTTCACTATTGTTATCCAACCATAGCGTCAGGCTTTGGGCAATTGGAATTTTTTGGTTGAATTGATTAATGGGGGGGCTTAGTTCCTTCCTAGTTTTTGAGTTGATAAAATGGAAACCGATTTGTATCTTACTATATATTACGATGTACAAGTCCTTTAGCACTGCAGTTTGGCTTGCTGTATTTGGGTTTCATATGATGGTATTTGTTCATTGCGGCTTGCCTTTTTTGGTTTTTGTGAATCTTCCTTAGTCTGCTTTTAAGGTGCTAATGCTGTATTCCTTCATGACTATGTTACGATACCTGCTGTCTGACTTCCATATTTCCTCTTGACAATTTGCAGTCCAATCCGATCTCTTATTGAATCTGGCTTTAGTGCTGACAAGAGGTCAGATGTGAGGCTTTATTACGGAGCTAGAAATTTGCAAAGGATGGCATATCAGGTGGTTCACAAAAATACTTTGTTGGTCTATGAAAATATGTAATAGAATAAATTACAGAAAATCTCTCTCTTTTTCAGCTCTTTTTCTTATGTCTTATCTTTATTATACAGGATAGATTCAAAGATTGGGAATCTTCTGGTGTTAAGATAGTTCCAGTATTGTCACAACCGGATGAGAAATGGACAGGTGAAGCTGGCTATGTGCAGGTACTGTAAAATTTTTGTTGATAGGTGTGGCAAATTTTATTTTTAAGTACATTGGATGGTGTAATCATATATTAACACTTGTTTTTGGGGCAATTAAACAGGCTGCCTTTTGTAGATCCAAAAACATTTCAAACCCAAACTCTACTGGTGTTGTACTGTGTGGGCAGAAACAGATGACAGAGGTAATTGATCTTTAATGGTTTGATTTGCAGTGTTTTTCTTTTTTCTTTCTTATTTTCTTCTTAATGAGTACTCTACTATTTGTGGCACAATATCTTGCTTAGCTGTCATTATTAAAGATAATATTGTCGTACCGTAATTGTTTTAAGTGTCAGTTAAAGGATGCAGCTGATGTAATATGGTATTTGTTTAGTTCTAGAATTTGTTTTATTGCTTCATAGATTATCAAAAGTTCTAATGATCCATCAGCATCAGGTTTTCTTCTAGTTTGTTTGGGTTCGAAAATGAGGGTATTGGAGGAGAATTAGCATATGAAGGAATTTAGTCTGCACAAGACATAGTTTGTGGTATTTGTACTAATAAGATGAAGTAGTCCAGAATTCCAGGTGAAAGCTCAATCTTTGGAGGGACTTTGTTCATAGATTACCTCTCTAATTGTAATTCTCAGCAACCTTTGTTTTGCTAATTTAGAATAAGAAGAATTGAGTACTGAACAGAAGTAGATGACTCATCTTGGTCACCCTTACCATATCCATGTGTCCTGAAATTGAAGGTCCCTGATATCTTCATTGGATATTAGTAAATTGAATAACAACATAGGTAAGAAATCACAGCAGAGATGTAGAAAAGCATTCTAGAAGAGTTACTGATTTAGAGTACTTCTTTAACTTTATCTTATATGCTTATGACAGAGATTGATGTTCCCACAACTCAGTATTTTTCATAATTTTTATCTTGACAGTCAACACACAAGTCAGACAACTAAGGGAAACATTATATTAAGGTCCTTCTATAAGACGCAAAACCAAATAGGAAAATAAGAAACTTCTCAGCCATATGTGAGCAAAATATATTTTTGTGGTGTTCTCTAAGGCCGTGGTGTTCTCTAAGGCAAGCCCTGAATCTACTCACATTATGCTCTTTTTTGGCTTAAGCTTAATGTTATCTTGTGGAACATAGGCTGACGGGTATGGATCTGAATTTACATATGTTGCTTAGACTCAGATTAAGGTGTTCAGTCTGAGTAGGATTCAGAGGATCTGACATTCTTCCCAAAAAATTCGGCCTATTCGTCGAAATGGTCAAAAGAGTGTCTTGGACTAGCTTTCTAGATAAAGCTAAGTATTTTGAAAAATGATTTTGACACTTAATCATACAATTATATATATAAAAAAAAAGATTTGTAGACAATGCTTTTGATGGCCTGTGAAGATGCACATTTTCTCAACATTTGTACCTCCTCCGTTTTTTTTTTCTTAACATTTTAGATAGTGTACACTTCACATACTTATCTTCAATTACATTTCGTGACATACATTTAAAGAAAAAATAGTCATATATCATATTGGAACTTGTTAGATTCGTCTCAATGTCTACTTTATTAGAATCTTTTTATAATTTTCACAAATGCATAATTAAAGATATAAATGGTTGAAGTTATGCATTGACGAACGTGAAAAAAACCGAAGTGTTACAAGTAAAATAAAATGAAGGAAGTAATTTTTTATAATATGATTATGAAACTAAACAAACCTACACACATGTTCCTAGAAGTTCTTGAAATTATCAGTGCCCAAATCAATCTTTTATTTCAAACACCTGTAGTTTTTGAGTAAGAAGGAGGTCTATTTGCTTGATACCAATGGATTAAATAAGAGTTATCAAATGTGCTCATAGGGGTTTGATGGAGTTGTTAAGAAATAGTATTGATACAAAACAAGTCCCTTATATGTAAAGCCCATCTTCCAACTCCTCCAAGTCTTCCCTTGTGGTGCCTATTACTTAATTTTATTTTATTTTATTTTATTTTTTTTTGGAAAAATTCTCAATGGTACTCATCATCCTTTTATTTTTCTCAATGGTAAACAACGAAAATTTTAATTATCTATGGCACTCATGTATTTTTAGTATATATTATCAATAATATTAATGATATATTTTGGTTAA